GCGGCGGCTTGTGGCCCCCTTACGACTCGTGGCGCCGCTAGCGGGAGATTTCGTCCCTATATCAACCTTTGGGTGGATTTTTGTGACCAGAAAGCAATGAAAGACTCTGTCACTAGTAATGGAACTAGCTGCACTAAATAAAAAACCTTCTGTGCATCAAGAGACGTAATAAAATGATGCTTGGTCATTTTTCTTTGATTTATAGAAAAAAGAACCACCGTACGTTACTATGAGGAATGGCGCGAGTTGTTTGAAAATTTATTTTTCACCTGGTTAAACTGGACAGGTTGTGCCATCTAGTGGGGCCCAGTTGAACCAAACACATCTGCCTTCTTGGCGCCAATGGCAGGAAGTTGATCAATGGCCGTTGTTGCTCAAGCTGCCTTTGTTCTGCTGCTACTAGTGTTGGCGGCCGCAGAGTAAAGGCGGGCAACGGTGTGCACGGCAAGAGTTATGTGAGACGTTCCACTTCTTGAGGCGGGTAATTTGAAGTGCACTAGCCTGATGCAGACAACTAAAACGAGATTTTATTTCAAAATAAGCACTTCCTTGGCGCAAAAGTAACATTATAAGGTTTCTGGACCGCTATTTCAACAATCAAGGTCGACTTAATAGTTGCTTTTAGTGTCTCTTTAATAATGGGAACTGACCGCTGTCACAATTTTTTAAAAGACCCTCCACACAATTAACGAACGGGAGACGACAGAGAAGCGAAAAAACTACAATAATGGTGTAGGGGTGTATAATTTATTTTTTTGTCTCCACCCAGTACTGGTGAGGTGTCAATTGAAAGTGCCCCAATTTTCTCCAAAGGCTTATTTTTAACCTCTTTACGAATTTCTTTCTTGGAGATGTCTCATTGATCACCTACATTTTTCACTGATCAGTGACGAGCCAAAAGTAGAAACTATTTCAAGTTTGATAAGAAAATTGTATCACCGTTCTACTACCTCGCCCTACCCAAGAAATTTTGAAAGTACCTACAAATAGGGTAATTACCCTATGGTTGACATCAGTACACTGGAGCAGGCATTCTGCATTATCGTGAAGCTTATGCACTCACAGTTACATAGTCTTTTATGTTTGTTGTCAGTAAATTTACTGATTACGCTTAACTGATTACTGAATAAGTAGCTGTACATTCACCATGATCTGAATTAACCACCATTACTTATAAATTGTTAGTTTAATTCATTACTTACATTTCGGGTACTTGACCACGAGTTTCTTTGGAAAGGTGGAATGCAAGATGAACCATAAGCAGCCTTGATTCTTAAGCTGAATAACTTATAGTTTTGATTAAAGCCACCCACGTAAACTATCACCATTAAATGTTTATTCAAGTGAATTGAACTGAATCAGTTGAATGGTGCTGCCCCCTGTGGTACCTGGAAGGCTGCATTTATTGTTTCTTGCACTTAACACGTTTCTTATGGGCATGCACTGAGAATTTGGGCCAGCATGATTATGTACTACAAAGAAAAAGAGGTGCCTGGGTGAGCAAGTTTGTAGTGACACGCATCCCGAAGGAGTGCGGCCACTAGCTTGGGTCCGGTCTTGGCGAGCTGCAGGGCACGCGTTAACCGTTGCCACGGCGAGAACACGATACTGCTCAAGGTCATAACACTTTATTGTCTGTGGCAACACCAAAAGGCAATACAGCCCGTTGCAAAGATGCGGCGGGAAAGCAAATGGGCTTATCCACGCCACGGGCGCAAAGTACCACACAGGGTGCCACGAGCACGTCTCCGTGGTAAAAGTGATTCACGGAGACACCGGGACCAAGGGCCGGTTGCTCGAGCGAGGACAAAGGCGCTCGTATTGTCTTCGTAGGGATATGGGTCGGCGTAGCCTGGCCACGCACTAGAAACCCGCACCACTTTTTGTGCTAGCGTTCAGAAGGGGGGGGGGGGGGGGGCGACATAAGGTAAGCGTTCGCCACAAGCACAAGGCACTGTTGGCGAAGTCCGAACGAGCCCCACAGGGAGCTGACAGATGGAAAAGAAAAGCGTTCTTAACCCAAGTCGTCCCCGAAAAGGTCTCTCTCTACTCCCGACGCGGGCACACAACACCTCTCGGGAGACTCTGCGCGTGGCGCCACAGTCGACATCGGCTACTGGGTGAGAGGGGTTAAATGTCACTCCGCTCTCCCAGCGCGGCAGACAGCGGAGGAGGGGAGTTATGTCGGGACTTGAGAGCGGAGAAAAAGGCGGCAAAGCGCACGCAAAGGCAGCGGGCTAGCCTCAATTCCCACAAGTTATAGTGGCAGTCCTTGACCTCTGTCTCCTTGTTTGCCTCGCAGTACACTCAGACCTCATTATAAGAAAGTAGCATCTTAAACAAAAAGAAGTTCATGATGTCCGAAAATGTGTTATAAAACTACAGTGGAACGAGTTGCGCGACAACCTGCTTTTTACAACGAACTAGTTTGGTCCTGGCAAAATTCCCATAGGAAAAATGCATTAGAAAGCTTGGTTATACAACACAGTTTTACGCTGACCCTGCATCTTAAGACTTTCTTTTTTCATCTGAAATTAAAAAAACACCTTTATTTACATGGAAAATCGACAAAATATTCACAAGTGCAAAATATGATCTTGCGTTCTTCTAGGTTGATGATTAGATAAAGTTGAGATTGAGACAGATGAGACAGTTCTTCTTGAAACGGAAAATTTATTCTCCTGGCACTTCTTGAGCTTCTGCATACGCCTCAATCACATGAATACGCAGGGTCGCTACCTTGACAAGCTCTGTCCACACAGAGTAGCTGCAGCTGGCCAATAGCTCATTCCTGAGATCCTGATATTTTCACGTTTTTGGTCTGGAAACATTTCGTGGTTGATGTACAGCTGATCTGCCTTTTTTTGTAGCACTCGCAGTCACAGGCTTGGGCAAGCAAATGGGCGTGATGCAGCTATTTTCACCATGCAAAATAACTTTCATTTGACGTTAGCGTTTAATATAGCTGTGGGTCATCACTAGTTGCACATCATTAGGCAATAGATTATAACACGCACAGTTCAGTTAAACACGAAGGCATTGTAGGCAAATTCGTGCTCTCTCGCCGTTATGTGATGATGATGACACTGTGTCTAACTCTTCTGATGGGAGGCTGTGAAAAATGCAGTTTTCGTTTTGTTTTCACGCGCAGGCAATTTTCGAATGCAATCTACCAGGAGAAAGACGCACATTGGATTTGATTTTTTAAAGTTGAAAATAAAGATTTGCTCGCACATTTTTCAACTAAGTAATGCTGCCATTGGCAAGAATAATTTAATCTGCCTTCCTTGGAGAAGCACAAGGTCGTGCCATGGGCTCTTTCAGGTGGTCTGCACCCATTTTTTTCGGCAAGGCTGAGTGTCAATATTCTTAGTTTTTTGATTATATGACTGTTTTGCGTGGTCCCCCGACAGTCGTATAACTGGGTTCTTCTGTATATTCTTAACGCTGTATCTATTGCAAGAGTAACCTTTATTTACTTCATTTATATATATTATATATATATTTCTCTCTCTCTCCTATATATATATATATATATATATATATATATATATTTCATTAAGTCTGGGTTTATTATATCGAGCTTTAAGTGACTGTGTACTACCTCCGCTTCTGGGACTAAAGGAGTAACTCTTCATTATTTAATCACAATTACATACCTGCCAAGTCTCCCGAATTTCGACCAGTTCTTACGTTCGTACGGTTGTCCAGAAAGTCTCCCGGAAATCGAAATTTCTGTGTGTGGTCTGGCCGCATTGACAAAAATGCCGCCCAATCCGCTTCATGGGTTTTGCGAACTCACCAAATTTTATTATAAATGAACTTAAGAGGCGTTCATCTAAACGTACAATAGAATCTCAGTGATGTGAAACCACGGCAGTTACAAATTTGTGAAATTCTCCAGCTAAATTTCACTATGTTCCTTGAATCGAAATTCGGATGTTCCAAACACTTTTCCTGATCGCGGTGGGTCGTATGAACTTTAGTACCAAAACTGTCGAACGAAGGCCGAGAGCAGCGTACTTGAAGCTTCTGAAGGACGCGTGCAGCCAGTGCATGCACTGGCAGAACTGTGGTTATCGTTTGCCTCAACCGCGGTGCACAAACTACGGTCGCTCTTAACACGATCATGTATGGCGACGACATAACTGGCATAACTCCGAAAGTGCACGCGCGTCCAACGCTTGACCAGTCAAAGTGACTTTGCTCTCCACAAATGCAAATGCGATCATAGATAGCAAAAAAAAAAAACAACTTGGTTTTGAAGGCATGTGCGCAGCCAGCGTAAGTGGATTGAAAACGGAACTACCGTTTCCCGCAAACGCCGCGTGCGAAATTGTGATCGCGGCGATGCGATCATCATGAGCAACTACTAGCTGAGGGCACGCGGCTAATGCAGTGGTAGTTTAAAGGCAATAATAATAATGAAAAAAATGCTAGAAGCGTGTTGGCATTCCTGTTCAAAGTTCACTTTTCAGTTGGCCTCAAGTGAAGCTTCTACGCACTCTTTCCTTGCAGCTGGCAGCGCCGTCCTGTCTGTTCACGTGTGACTTAAGCATACATATGTGCGTTCTTTTGACAAAAATATATTTTGATTGTTGTTTTGATGACGTAAAATTTCAGGAGATACGAATATTTCTGCACCCCCTTTCATCCAGACTCGCACCCTCTACTGTAGTTGGAAACCCTACCCTCGTGTGTTTGGCCACTCCAAGCCATTATAAGGCAGGAATGCCAAAGTTTACGCCCCCCCCCCCCCTTTTTTTCACCACTGTTTTTTGTTTTGTTTTTTTTTTGGTGCGAAAAATGGGGGGAAATAAATCTGCATGACCCCCCTTTTCTTACGGAAATCTCCCAGATTCAAAATCCTTGAACTTGGCAGGTATGCCATTATTTCCATGCTTGTAGTGAGCTTATGACTTTAGTGCCTAGCAAATGTAGGCAGCCACATACTACATCACAGATGCTTATTTTTTCCACTCTCTTCCTACTCCTTGTAGGCCTTGGGCTGTTTGCTGTACAAGTTGTGCTTCTTCAGCTTGCCCTTTGGTGAGAGCGCCCTGGCAATTCAGAGTGGGAACTTCACCATACCTGACAACTCTCGATATTCCAAGCAGATTCATTCCCTCATCCGTGAGTGCTTGTCCTGCTTGTTAATGATGCCATGTTTTAATGTCTTGATTTTAAAAAAACTTTTAACAGGAGTGCCTAAAGGAAAGCTATGGCCCTTTGAAAAAATGCTGCTCGTTGTGCTGTTGGGTTTCATTTCCCCATGCCTCTGCTTCAGTGAGAGAAGGAAAAACTATTGGTTTTCATTCTACCACCATGCTCTTGATCCTTCCAAATTCTTAACACCATGCAAGCTATCAATATGTCTGTTTATTATTGAGAGGATAACAGTAAGTACAGAGTACTAAGAAAGTACTTGCAAGCCGGCCCCAGGACAAATATTTTTCTGTGACAAAAAGATGCCTTAACGGCTGCAATGGTTTTTAGAGTGTAGGTTTAATTGAAATTGACTTGACTGTGAAATGTAAAAGGCTGAAATATCGCTTGTGGCTACAGTGAAGACCTGACTTGGGTTGTGTGAGGAACTGTGAAGAAATAATTGTTTAAGCTCCCTTTTTAAGTTTGCTACAAATCAAGCTTTATGCATCAATAACCGTTAATAGAATTGTGGATACAGTAGATTTTCCATAATTCAAGCTTTCGGTTTACGTAAATGAAAACTTTTTTGTTGTCTCGCAATGTTTACAATGTATTTCAAAAGCTACTTTATTCAAATGAGTTCATTGTGTAAAATTAATACTTTTTGCTTGTTTGTGCCTTATGAGATATTCTGCTGTTGTCACTTCTAGCTGAATATTTGTGCTTTTATACCAGTGACAGTCGATATATTGTCACGAGGTTGTGATACACGCAGCACTTGAGAGGAAGCACGCAGGAGTCAGGGCGGTGTCAGGCGAACTGTTTATTGGGCGAACTTGTGCCCAGCAAAACAGGGCCAAACACAACTCACAGCAACAGCGGCGTGAACAGTCGTCGGCCGACGGAAAAAAAAAAAAAAGACCCAGTGGCGCACTGCGCCGGCTTTTTATACACGCGTCGTAACGCGTTCCAAAGTGGCATACAAGATAAACGCGGCCTGCGTTGCGCTTAACAGAAAGTGATAGCGTCTTCCTTCGCAAACGAAAAGAACCGCACGTGTCAGTTTTTTATACACGCGTCGTAACGCGTTCCAGAGTGGCATACAAGATAAACGAGGCCTGCGTTGCGCTTAACAGAAAGTGATAGCGTCTTCCTTCGTAAACCGAAAGAACCGCACGTGTCAGTCTTTTATACACGCGTCATAACGCGTTCCAGAGTGGCATACAAGATAAATGCGGCCTGCGTTGCGCTTAACAGAAAGTGATAGCGTCTTCCTTCGTAAACCAAAAGAACCGCACGTGTCACTACCCCCCTCTGAAAAAGCATCGTCCCGATGCTAAAGACAGAACATAAGAGAGAGTACATGCAATAAATTACATTAACAATGCGTCACAGCTAATCAGCGCGCGTAATAAGGTTTAAGTCGCACCACGTGTACGACTTCGGGTCGTGCACGGCGTCGTTGGGATGACGTTAAGCCATCGGGCACGACCTCATAGTCCAGTTCACCACGACGTCGGACTACCTTGTAGGGTCCAAAGTAGCGTCGCAGGAGCTTCTCAGACAATCCCCGTCGTCGTATCGGCGTCCAGACCCAGACAAGGTCACCTGGTTGGTATTCGGTGTGGTGTCGTCGAAGGTTGTAGTGGCGCCTGTCGACCGTCTGTTGGCTCTTGATACGCAGGCGGGCTAGCTGTCGAGCTTCTTCAGCGCGATCCAGGTAGCTAGCGACGTCGAGGTCTTCTTCGTCGGTGCCGACCGGTAGCATGGCGTCAAGCGTCGTTGTTGGGCTCCGTCCGTAGACGAGCTTGTATGGAGCAAACTGCGTCGTTTCCTGCACGGCCGTGTTGTACGCGAAGGTTACATACGGGAGTATGGCGTCCCACGTCTTGTGCTCGACGTCCACGTACATGGCCAGCATGTCGGCGATGGTCTTATTTAGACGCTCGGTGAGGCCATTCGTCTGTGGGTGGTACGCGGTGGTTCGGCGGTGGCTTGTCTGACTGTACCTCAAGATCGCTTGCGTTAGGTCAGCCGTAAAGGCCGTACCTCTGTCGGTGATGAGGACCTCGGGGGCTCCGTGGCGGAGGACGATGTTCTCAATGAAGAACATGGCGACCTCGGCGGCAGTGCCCTTGGGCAAGGCCCTTGTTTCGGCATAGCGGGTGAGGTAGTCAGTCGCTACGACAATCCATTTGTTGCCAGAAGTTCACGTCGGGAACGGCCCCAGTAAGTCCATGCCGATTTGTTGGAATGGCCGTTGAGGTGGTTCGACGGGTTGCAGAAGTCCGGCTGGCCTAGTTGTCGGCGTCTTGCGTCGCTGACAGTCTCTGCATGTTTTTACGTAGTGGGCGACGTCGGCAGCGAGGCGAGGCCAATAGTACTTCTCTTGTATTCGTGACAGTGTGCGGGAAACACCAAGATGTCCGGCTGTCGGGTCGTCGTGTAATGCTTCCAGAACCTCTGGACGTAACGCTGAAGGTACCACGAGGAGGTGGTCGGCGCGGAGCGGCGAGAAGTTTTCTTCAGGAGGACGTTGTTTCGCAGGAAAAACGAAGCCAGTCCTCGGCGGAATACTTTCGGCACGTCGGCGGTCTTGCCTTGCAGGTAGTCCATGAGGATCTTGAGCTCCGGGTCAGCTCGTTGGCGTTCCGCGTAGTCGTCGGTACTTATGGGTCCCAGGAAAGAGTCGTCGTCCTGGTCATCCTGGGGCGGCGGATCGACAGGGGCGCGAGACAAGCAGTCGGCGTCGGAGTGCTTTCGTCCGCTCTTGTAGACGACGGTGATGTCAAATTCTTGTAGTCTGAGACTCCACCGTGCGAGGCGCCCTGATGGATCCTTCAAGTTAGCTAGCCAACACAAGGCGTGGTGGTCACTCACGACTTTGAAAGGCCTGCCGTACAGGTAGGGGCGGAACTTTGATGTAGCCCAGATGATGGCAAGGCATTCCTTTTCTGTCGTGGAATAATTGGCTTCTGCCTTCGAAAGTGACCGGCTAGCGTAACTGATGACCCTTTCAAGTCCGTCGGTCCTCTGCACGATCACGGCGCCGAGCCCTGTGCTGCTTGCGTCCGTGTGAATTTCGGTGTCAGCTTCTTCGTCGAAGTGCGCCAGTATTGGCGGCGTTTGCAGGCGTCGCTTTAATTCTTGAAATGCCTCGACTTGCGGCGTTTCCCATTTGAAGTCGACGTCGGCCTTCGTGAGGTACGTCAGTGGCTCGGCGATCCGCGAAAAGTTCTTCACGAAGCGCCTGTAATAAGCGCAGAGGCCAAGAAATCGGCGTACTGCTTTCTTGTCGGTGGGTGCAGGAAAGTCGGCGATCGCAGCTGTTTTCTGTGGATCAGGGAGCACTCCCGACTTGCTGATAACGTGGCCAAGGAACAATAGTTCCTCGTAGGCGAAGCGGCACTTTTCTGGCTTCAGGGTAAGTCCCGAGGCTTTGATTACCCGAAGAACAGCTTCAAGGCGCCGGAGGTGCTCGTCGAAGTTGGAAGAAAATACGACTACGTCGTCCAAGTAGACGAGGCAAGTCTGCCACTTCAAGCCTGCGAGTACTGTGTCCATAACCCGTTGGAACGTCGCAGGCGCCGAGCAAAGACCAAAGGGCATGACCTTAAACTCGAATAGGCCGTCTGGTGTTATGAAGGCAGTCTTCTCTCGGTCTCTCTCGTCTACTTCGATTTGCCAGTAGCCGGTTTTGAGATCCATCGACGAAAAATACTTGGCGTTGTAGAGTCTGTCCAGAGCATCGTCTATCCGTGGGAGGGGATACAAGTCTTTCTTCGTGATGTTGTTCAGGCGACGATAATCGACGCAAAAACGTAGGGTTCCGTCCTTCTTCTTCACCAACACCACGGGTGATGCCCACGGACTCGTAGACGGCTGAATGATGTCGTCACGCACCATTTCGTCGACTTGTTGCTTGATGGCCTCGCGTTCCCGTGCAGAAACTCGGTAGGGGCTCTGACGGAGCGGACGGGCATATTCGTCGGTTATGACGCGATGTTTCGCGAGAGGGGTCTGACGAAGCCTTGACGACGACGAGAAGCAGTCCTTGTATTGGTGGAGTAAGGCTTTGAGCTCCTTTTGTTGCTGCCTGGAAAGGCTTTGATTGACGTCGAAGGCGGGCGCGGACACTGCTGTCGAAGTTGCGGCTCCCTGAGAATCAGTGAGGGCGAAGGCATTGCTCGCTTCCACAAATTCACTTAGATGTGCTACCGTCGTGCCCCTATTTAAGTGCCTATATTCGTTGCTGAAGTTCGTCACCATTACCTTGGCTTCGCCGTTATGAAGCTTGGCTATGCCTCTTGCGACGCACATCTGACGGTTTAGGAGCAGGTGCTGGTCGCCTTCGATGACACCTTGTAAGTTGGTAGACGCTTTGGTGCCGACGGAAATGATGACGCTCGACAGTGGCGGGATGGTTACCTGCTCTTCTGTCACATTCAAGGCATTGTGAGCGACGTTGCAGTCTGACGCCGTTGCATTATCCGTGGACAGCGTGATTGACCTGGATCTTAGGTCGATTACTGCGCCTTGCTGGTCCAGGAAATCCATGCCTAAAATGACGTCTCGCGAGCATTGCTGCAGGACCACAAAATTCACAGAATACGTCTGGCTGTGAATCGTGACTCTTGCCGTGCAGGTTCCAGTCGGTGTTATAAGGTGGCCCCCTGCTGTTCGGATATCCGGTCCTTCCCATGCAGTCTTTACCTTCTTGAGCTTAGCGGCGAAGAGACCACTGATGATAGAGTAGTCGGCGCCGGTATCGACTAGGGCGGTGACGCTGTGGCCGTCGATGATCACGTCGAGGTCGGTGGTTCGTCGTCTGGCGTTCCGGTTAGGTCGGGGCGTCGGATCACGGCTGCGTCGGCTTGGTCCGGTGCTGCTATGTGGCGTCGGCGGCGAGGCTTTGTCGTAAAGACTCTGCTCAGGCGGCGTACTGCGACTATGTCGGGAAAGTTCGTGCGTCGTGGTCGTCGTCA